ACAGGTGGGTGTTAACAGACTTCTGTCTGTTTACACCCGTGTACCTCTGGGTCCGATCTGGTCCTTGACCCGTTACCGCCCAGCCTGTAGAAAGATGGCGGCCAGGCTAACAGCTCGTCTCTCTGGGTGGACGCCATATGGCGTCCTTTCCGGAGGACAGGGCTGCGCTGCGACGTGATCTGTCACCGGCCGTGTACCTCGGACACGGCCGATGACTGATCTGTGTACCGGACCCATTGCCAGTACCATGTGACCTGCAGTGACCAATCCTTCCTTTCATGCTATCCATTGTATACAAGTGTGTCTAGCTGTGAATGGTCACAGCAATCAAATGCACAAGCTGGGCCAATCACAGCTCAGCTGTGTCATGTGATTAGCCATGGCCAAATCACAGCTAATCACAATAAAAAAAAAAAACCTGAATTAATCAATTTCATTCAGGTAAATGCTTGCTTATAGCAAAGTAATTCTTTGCTATAAGCAAATTGTGTAAAAAAAAATACTGATCAATTCCCCAAAGTAGTACAATGTTACTATGGTAACATTATACTACTTTGGTCATAGTAAAATATGAAAAAAAAATCTTAAAAAAAGAGAAAAAAATGTAATAACAAATTAAAAATAATAAAAATTAAAAAAAAAAAAACTAAAATAAATTATCATTTTTTTTTTCATACTGTCACCAGTCAGTGTCCCTGATCACCGCCATGCCAGTTATATTATGACGCTGTACTGCACTGGTGACAGTATGTATATAAAAAAAAAAAATAGTGTACATAATTTTTTTAAATTTTTCATTTTCTGAAAAATTATGACAAAAAAAATACAACTTCAAAAAACTCGCCATTCCTCTTATGAAGTACGTCGACTGTCTACTCTGCAAAAAGGGGTCATTTGGGGGATATCTGTACTGTTCTGACATTCTTGGACCTCAAGAAATTAGATTGGCGTCAGTACTTCAGGATTGATCAATTTTCAGATCTATACCATAGTTTGTGAACTCTATAACTTTCCTACAAACTAAATAATACATCCTAATGTGGGTTATTTTCACCAAAGACATGTAGCAGAATACATCTTGGCCTAAATTTATGAAGAACAATTATGTATTTGTAAACTTTTATAACAGAAACAAAGAAAAATGTGTTTTTTTTCAAATTTTTGGTCTTTTTTTGTTAATTTAGCAAAAAATAAAAACCCCAGCAGTGATTAAATACCACCAAAAGAAAGCTCTAGTTGTGTGAACAAAATGAGAACATTTTAGTTTGGGTACAATGTTGTATGACCGCGCAATTGTCAAAGTGTGAGAGCTCTGAAACCTGAAAATTGGCCTGGGAGGGAAGGGGGTAAAGTGCCCGGTATGGAAGTGGTTAAACCTTTCGCTGTCAGGTCCCTATGCCATAGGGACCTGACAGCAAGGGGTTTTATACACAATCAGGTGGTGGCTGTAGCCCCCAGGATAATCTATAAAACTGACAGTCAGACTCCTACAAAAACACTATTGTAGCAAAAAATGCTGCTTTTTGCTTTTAAAAAAAAGTCCCTGACCCTTTCCAAAACCGCAACGACTCAAAAAAGCATAGATGTGAACGTGTCCCATAGGAAACCATGTTAAATGGACTGTAGTGTGTTTCTGCAATAAGCACTAAAAAACGCATTGGTGTGAACAGAGCCTCAGTAAATGAGATCAGATTCGATCAAACTGAGTTGGGTGGAAAACTATGAATGGTTTTGCACTAATTGGCAGCACCAAGCTACTTTGTTCATAAATACAATCATATTTCGAATGATGAGATTAGAAGATCACATGGTGGAAGCGGTGGACAATTCCCAATGGTAAATTACAATTGTATCTCAATTATCCATTGACATCCTGGGTGATGCCTATCAATCAAATGGGTTTTGAACTGTAGATTGTTCTAAGAGACATTGATCATGTATGGCCATGTGGACATGGAGATGTCATATATGTGTGGGGTGCAGGGCAGTGAGCAGAGCCAGGCTGATCCTATCATCTAGCAGCCCATACTTGTCCTGTCCAGCATGTGTCAGTGTGTAGAGGTGTCCCCAGCCTGCGATCACACAAGCCATGCTCCTTCCTTGACTCTGGCTGTCAGTAGGGATCACAGAGGGAATAGTAGGGCCGTCCTGTGGGAAGTCTCCTTATCAGAATGTATGTTGTTTTAGAGGGATGAGCTGAGACCACGCCTGCTGACAGAGGCCGAGCCGTGCTTCCACCCACATCGCTCCCCTCCCTCCTTCTCCCTCCCTCCCTCTCCTCCCTGCCAGCGCTGTGTGCCTCATTCTCCGGAGAAGTTGTCTGTGTGAAGGAATCAATGTGGTGGGGAGGAGGAAGGATCCTGCACCGGGCACACACAGCGATGCAACTTTGTCCGATCTCCTCCGGCTCCTGAGATGTCAGCCCGGACAGACGCCGATCGCAGCGAGCACGCCGGGAGGTAGGCATGGCTGGGACAGGGAGAGCACACACCCGACCCAGGCAAGTGGGTGGAAGTTTGTAGGACTGTGCCCTTTCCACTTTCTTCCTGATCAATGACAGGAGCTCACAGCACTGCTCCTATGCTGTGCACAGACACTGTCAGCATGGCTGGCCGATGGGCAACTGCCATTGATTGGGTCCACCACCATTACTCCATGGATGGGAAGAGTGGAGGAACCCTTAGTAACCCCAGTCCTTGTCTTCAGTCTAGAAGAGGCATGGTCACCATACTAAACCATCGGATTTATTCAATGGATGATCAGAGTGGAGGAACCCTTAGTAACCCCAGTCCTTGTCTTCAGTTTAGAAGAGGCAAGGTCACCGTACTAAATCGTCGGGTTTATTCAATGGGTGATCAGAGTGGTGGAACCCTTAGTAACCCCATTCTTTGTCATCAGTTTAGAAAAGTCGATCACTGTTGCAGACCATCAGGTTTATGCAATGGATGGGCAGCGTGGAAGAACCCTTAGTAACTCTGGTCCTTGGCATCAGTTTAGAAGAGATATGGTCACCATGCTAAACCGTCAGGTTTATTCAATGGATGGGCAGAGTGGAGGAACCCTTAGTAACCCCATTCTTTTGTCATCAGTTTAGAAAAGTCAGTCACTGTTGCAAACCATCAAGTTTATAAAATGGATGGGCATCGTGGAGGAACCCTTAGTAACCCCATTCCTTATCAGTTTAGAAGAGATATGGTCACCATAGAAAACCATCTGGTTTATTCAATTGATGGGCAGAGTGAAAAAACCCTTAGTAACTGCTTTCCTTGTCATCAGTTTAGAAGAGTCGATCATTATTGCAAACCATCAGGTTTATATATTGGATAGGCAGCATGAAAGAACCCTTAGTAACCCCATTCCTTGTCGTCAGTTTAGAAGAGCAAACCATCTGATTTATTCTATGGATGGGCAGCATGGAGGGACCTTTAGTAACCCATTCTTTCTCATCAGTTTAGAAGAGCCATCATCACCATTGCAAACCATCTGGTTTGCTCAATGGATGGGAAGGATGGAGGGACCTTTAGTAACCCATTCTTTGTCATCAGTTTAGAAGAGTCATCATTGCAAACCATCTGGTTTACTCAATGGATGGGCAGCGTGGTGGAACCCTTAGTAATCCTTTCCATGTCATCAGTTTACAACAATCACCATTAGCAAACCATCATGTTTATTCAGTAGATGGGAAGTCTTTAGTAACCCTTTGCATGTCATTTTACAAGACTCATGTTCACCATTGCAAACCATCAGGTTTTTTCAGTAGATGGGGAAGAGTGGGGGAGCCCTTAGTAATCCTTTGAATGTCATGAGTTTTGAACACTCACGATCACCACTGGAAACCATCAGGTTTATTCAGTAGATGGGGAGAGTGAAACAACCTTATGTAATCCTTTCCATGTCATCCGTTTAGAAAACTCATGATCATCTTTGCAAACCATCAGGTTTAGTCTATACGGAGATGGGCAGAGTAGAGAAACTCTTCGTAGCCCTTTGCATGTCATGAGCTTACAGCAGTCACAATCACCATTGCAAGCCGTCCGGTTTATTCAATAGATAGGCAGAATGGAGGAACCCATATCAAGTATTTACCTGTCATCCATTTAGAATTGTCATGGTCACCATTGCAGATGATCAGATTTATTAAATCAATGAGCAGAGTGTAACTTGTAGCTTCCCATAGCAACCCTATGCATGTCATCAGTTTAGAATAGTCATCATCACCACTGCAAACATTCAGGCTTATTCAGTACAGAGATGGGCAGAGCAGAGTAACCCCCAGCAAGGCTTTGCATGTCAGCTGTTTAGAACAGTCACCATGATCACTGTTGCAAAAATTCAGATTCAATCAATTGATGAGCAGAGTGGAGGAACCCTTAACAACCCTTAGCATGTTGTGAGTTTGGAACAGTCATGATCACCATTGCAAACCATCAGGTTTATTCAATCAGTGGGCAGAGTGGAGGAACCCTTAGAAAACAATTGCATGTCATCACTCATCAGTTTAGAACAGGCATGATTACCATTGCAGAAGATCAGGTTTATTTAATACCGAGGTGGGCAGAGTAGAGTAACCCTTAGTAACCCTTTTCATGTCATCACTTTAGAACAGTCATGATCACTATTGCAAACCATCAGGTTTATTCAATAGGTGGGCAGAACTGAGAACCATTAACAATCCTTTGCATGTCATCACTCATCAGTTTAGAACAGGAAAGATGTTTGCCCTTTGCTTGTTGAAGGCTCTTGCGTTTTGCACATTGCTCTTTGCCGTATTAGACTTTTGATTGTAATAGATGTATTTGGTGATTGCATAGCTGTTCGTTGTCAGGGAGCGTATTAGACCAAGCACGGCTCACTATTAATCCCAGCATGCACTAACCTTGATCTGACTGCTAATGTAATAACTGGTACTCCCTCCTTGCTATTTTTTGTTTCTTTTTAGATGATTGCAGCCACCAACCTCGTTGTTTTCCACTCCCTGCCTGTTTTGACTTGAAAAGACCATGACAGAAGTCTTTCTATCAGCTCTTTTAAATGTTACTCAAAGCACTTTGCTGGCAAGTGGCTCATCTACTGGGAATGTCACAAAATGCACTCTGACAAAGACAGGCTTTCAGTTCTATTACCTCCCCGCTGTGTATATAGTGGTTTGTATCACAGGATTTATCGGTAATAGTGTGGCCATATGGATGTTCATTTTTCACATGAAACCATGGAGCAGTATTTCCGTCTACATGTTCAATTTGGCACTGGCAGATTTTTTATACATCCTCTCCCTCCCAGCCCTAATCTTTTACTATTTCAATAAAACAGACTGGATATTTGGAGATGTCATGTGCAAACTGCAGAGGTTTATATTTCATGTGAACCTGTACGGAAGCATCCTATTTCTGACTTGTATCAGTGTTCACAGATACACAGGGGTAGTGCATCCACTTAAATCACTTGGGAGGCTCAAGAAGAAAAACTCCATCTACATCAGTGCTCTGGTCTGGTTCATTGTGATTGCTGGTATCTCTCCCATCCTGTTTTTCTCTGGTACAGCGATCAGGAAAAATAAAACCATTACATGCTTTGACACATCATCTGATGATTACTTAAGAAGCTACTTCATCTACAGTATGTGCACCACTGTCTTTGGCTTCTGCATCCCTTTTATACTCATTCTGGGATGTTATGGATTAATCGTTAGAACTTTGATCTACAAAGATATGAACAATGCTCCCCTGAGAAAAAAATCCATTTATCTGGTTATTATTGTCTTAACTGTCTTTGCAGTTTCATACCTTCCTTTCCACGTGATGAAGAATCTGAACTTGAGAGCCAGACTGGATTTCCAGTCCCCTGAAATGTGCTTCTTCAACGACAGGGTCTACGCCACCTACCAAGTGACTAGGGGGCTTGCAAGCCTCAATAGCTGCGTAGACCCCATACTCTATTTCTTGGCAGGAGATACCTTTCGGCGGAAGCTATCAAGGGCAACTAGGAAAGCATCTAGAAGAAGCGAAGCGAATGTGCAATCTAAGAGTGAAGAGATGACTCTCAACATCTTATCGGAGTACAAGCAAAATGGTGATACCAGCTTGTGAAGACAAAGAACGGGATTGCTCAAAACACCCAGCTGTTAGCACTATGGGATGCATTAGCTCAAATCATGGCTGTGTAGAGATTTTTTTACGTGTTAAAGTCAGTTGACAACCTAAGGCAGGCTAGAACAATTTATCCAAGGGGAAATAGAAAGTTCTATGATTTGGGGACAAACATTTGCATTCCCACAAGGGAACAAAAAGGGTGTTTTGTTTCTTGTAGTATCTCCACAAGTTAAACTATTTCATTTTTTTTTTTTTTTTTTTTTTAAACGTTATTCCAGAATTTACTGTGAATAAGTTTTGACTACTGCTAATATGGTGAAGGAATGTATCTCAATAAAGTTATGTGCTGATATTTAAAAAACAAAAGTATTACTAACTTAGCTGATCTTTTTGTGAACCTGCTTTTCTTTAAAGCAATGGACTTTTTTTTTTTTTTAATTATTCTTCTGGAAAGACTTTCTCATGTTAGAATATTTTTACATTACAGAATTGAACATATGTGGAGGAAGCGGGGAATAGCTGCTCAATATTAATTATCACTCTCATTTTAGGCATGTCAATTAAAAGGAAACATAGGCAACACACTCTAGCCAATATCAATATGCTGGGTGACAAGAAAGTTGTCGAAACATGTTTTTACTGATAATGTCTGTTGTGATCAAAAGGTTAATTGCATACCCATCTCAGTTAGATCTGTATATGCGGCACTTGAGAACGTAAATTTGTATTATGGCTCTTTAGAAGAGCATTGATAGTCCGTGACAGTTTTATTGCACAAGAGAAAGGACTCATATTTTTTTTAGCATTTCAATATATTAATGATATATGGAACAAGGCAAAAAAAAAAAGTTAATAATGTGGATCCTTGTGTACAAGGGCTCTATATGATAAAGGTTAATACTACCTATCTAAGCACTATATACTTCAAAAAATACCAGTGGATTGTTTGTGAAAGACTAATCGTGTTAGTTGAGAGTAGATGGTTACAATATATAACTTGGCTACTATGGGAAGGATGTATGCTGGCAGGATGGAAGATAATGTGCCCTTTTGATCTCCAGAGTTTGCTCTGGTACCACTAACTACTGAGAAACTCAAATGTGTGTACGCATTTCTTAAACTGGACATCGAGACTTTTTTCATTTTATTTTTTAACCTGCTGCCCAGCAGCTAATACTACAATAATTTTCTTGACCTGTGGCATGGTGTAGCTGTATATCATGTCCAAAAATGAATATATGAAGGGATAAATGTGATCTCTATGTTAAACGTACTGTGTATGTTTGGAGTATCGTATGTGTTTTAATGCTCATGTGAAAATGTTTTATTTTTGTACCATTATCTGTAATTTAATATAGTTCAGTAAATCTGTTTATCTGTAATTAACAGTGCCATTGACTTGATTTGCCTATGGAGACAGTGTTACTTGACATTTGAAGCCTCTCTCAGGTTTTGTAGACTGACCGAAACGTAATGTGTTTAACTTTCACAATAAAAAGGGTATTCGTTTCTCGGAGATGCTGTGATGTTTGCATGCACACGACGAGGTGGAAAAAAGATGGGGAATGGTAAAAATGAAGCAACAACCCCCCCAAGTGTTTCTAGAATTTTGCAGTGCCACCGTAAACTTAAGTAATAAAACATAAAGTTTATTTTGCAAATTTTGTATTAAGTTAAAGTTAAGTTTTTTTTTTTTTTTTTTGTAGAGTGGTGCAAAAGCAATTACGTTTTTCAAAGTATAGTGGCCTATACCAACCAATCAAATTTCAATTTACATTAATCAGGACAATTAAAAATAAATGCCATCTGGTTGCTATGGGATGCTGTACCCTATTTTTGCTGTATTAAATAGCCTGTATGTGTATCGATCTGATAAAGAGATGGCTTTAGAATCTACTGTCTAATTCGGTTTGACTAGGTTTTCAGGTAGCAGCAACCTTTAGGTAGCCAGCATCCTTTTACCCATTTGATATGGCAACTGTCAAGCTAGCTTAGCAGCATGATAGTTCTGAGAAGCAAGGCACTGAGCCAGCATTCATTTATACTTGTTTAAGGTAGATAACCGTGAACGACAGCAGGAGCAAAAGGTTCCCTAGTTTTCATCTAGCATGAAGAAAGAGAGCCCTCGTGTAGCTGCACCTTTAATCATCTTGCTGTTAATTTTTCAGCATGCATCCTGTTTATAGGAAAAGAAGGGTTCTGCTCATTACCCTTGATTAGAGTGCATGCTTTTGATATAAGCCTCCAAGACAAGACACTATGCAAATTTTTTTTTTTTTCTCCATCAGTGCTGTTTTGTTAAAGCATGTCAACTCTCTAACATACATTAATGTGTATTCCAAACACAACATAAACAAGTGTACTCCTTTTTGATTGAATGCTAATCGGCATGACATAATAGAGGTGTGCTTTAAACAGGAAACCTATACACAAATATTTGGATAAGCAGAAACATTATTAATGAAAACAGACGAATGTTTATGGACAAGTACATTTACAACTTGCTGTTCCATTGAAAAAAAAAAAGAAAAAGAAAAAAACAAACATAATTGGATTGGCTTTATTACATAGTAATTTAGTTTCTTTTTCCTTTTGCTTTCAGGTATGCACAGTCATGCAGTGTTGATTGACATGTTCATCCTCACTAGAACACAGTTCTCGTATTGTAACATTAAATTGCTGAATTTAGGCTTGCATGTCAATTTAATTATGAAATGCCTGGTAATTTATTTAGGATTGGAAAGAATAATTAACCTGCTTTCCACATTTCTAAATAGCTGAACATTTTGTTCTAACTAATTTATTTTCATTATCTAACACTTATGTGAACCATTTCTAGGTGTGTTGCGGTAAATGCAAAGATGTCCATTAACTGGCAGATGTGTCCATGAAAATGATGGACAGCAAGAGATCTGTCCGTCCTTGAACATATCCCTGGGCAGCCAAGATTTTCTCTTATCTTTTCGCTGACTTGGCCAACATTAGCAACACAAGAGCAGTGAAATGTTCATTCACTGCGTAGAAAGGCAACCACTCATGCCTGCTCATACAAGTAGAAACTATCTGTGCCCAGTGATGAGCTTTATTGATGGTTGGAAGTACTAGCTATCACTTTCTGATCCACATCCTATAGTCACATGTGATGCTTAAATCAATGCATCACTTGCATGGATCATCCCTTGCATGCACATCTTTGCATGTAGTATTGCAGTCAGACCTCCAGAATGCATATGTACACCCACTGCCAACTGCTACACTGCAGCAATTGAACAATGTAGATGCAAAGGAGGAAATTAACTGCTACATAAAATGGAATGTGCATGCTGTCATCTGTCATATAGGGTGACCATAAACAGCCATAACTGTCATCAAGAAAGACAAGAGCATGTCCACTCTGCAACCCCATTCATATGGACCCATAACTATTTTTGGTAGATGTTTAATGGCAGTGTACATTTTATAACAAGTCTTTTAACTATTCATTGGGGAAAAAAATGAATATACTGCTCAATGGTTAAAGCAACTTTCGAACAGGTTGGAAAATCTTAGCTGTTAAGTGCTTCTGATACTCTCAGATTTTAACCCATACACCGACCAATAATGACAAAAGAAACTTAGTGGGAGATTTCCAAAAAAAAGTGGTGCATGGTAGCCAATCAGATTCTAACTTCAGCTTGTTCAATTACCCTTTGGCAATAAAACCTGGAAGCTGATTGGTTTCTATGCAGAGCTGCACCAGATGTTGCACTCTACAGTTTTAGTAAATAACCCCACTTAGTATTTAGTCAGCAGCCCTGATTCAACAGTCAGCAAGTGTGCTTATATAATTTTAGAGACCAAGGAAATGTGAAATCTTTGCAAACATACATTAACACCATCAAACCTTTGCTAAAATATATGAAAATACAGTGAAAATGCACACTAAAGTTATGGGTAGTTAACAATAGTAATACTCCAGACATCCATAGCAGATGTTTAGTATTGTGAAAAATGTAGTTCAGGAACACAGATATTTAACCTATTAGAACTAACTCTTCAAGTTGTTGTTTGTGGTTTCATCCACTTTGTAAGTCAAGTGGTTCAAAAACTCTGTTTTTAATATACACAATTAGATCTTTTCATCTGAGCATATGGCAGCATGACTGTGTCTGTATAACTGTTCTGCTCCAGGTGGTGACTATTTTTACCATGCTAGAATTAGTTTGTATACTTCTCTGAAGACCCCACGCATTTTTAAAGAAAACACATTAGATGTCCTAATTAATCTCAAACAAACAAGTTTAACTTGGCTTTATGGAATATAACTCATGATTACAGCACAGACCGCTGTATTTATATGTTTAACCGGGGCTTGTTTAATAACATATGACTTTATGCATTCATATGTCTGTACTACAGATCTGTCCTTATGTCCACCAATCAGATCCAAGCTTTCATTTTCAAGGGCAGGTTAATCTGAGTGATGGCAGTGAGGAAATAATAGTTCTTAGTCCACAGCACTTTGATTCATGTACTCATAAGGGCTGATTTACTAAAGGCAAATAGGCTGTACATTTTGCAAGGGAAGTTGCACTTTGTATGGGAATTTTTTCCAGAGCTTATTGAATGTACTGAAGCTCTATTGACTTCCTCATCCAATAATGCTGTTTTTTTTTATTTCCTTCCACGTGCTTGGGTATTGTTTGCAAAGTCAAATTTCACCAAATTCGCTCAGCTCAGACGCAACTTCCCTTGAAAAGTAAACCACCTATTTACCTTTTAGTAAATCAACCCCACAGCGAGCAGTAAACCATGACAGCCAATCAAAAATTAGCTTGCCAAATAAAAATCAATTCTGATTGGTTGACACAGAATATTGTAAACTCCTTTTTTACAATTTTGCAGTCATACTTTTTTAATGTGAATAAATATATATTTTTGGACTACATTCTGCATCCTGCATGAAAGGATTCATAAGTCTTATTAAGTAGGCCTTCTTAAACTTCATTTTAATAGTA